GTGGTTGTGGATGTGCCGTGGTGTTGTGTGGGTAACTGTGCAGTGTACACTCCTGGGCTATGGGAGTGTGCGTCCGAGTGTGTTTGCGGTGTGCGTGTGCGTTTTGTTCGTCGGTTGCCAGTGCACACACCGGCTTCGTTGGGTGCCAGCTAGATGCACATCCACACTCCCACCACAGCCGGTCTGCGCTTTCTAGCTCGGACCCGGTCATGGAGACCTCGGCGGAGCGCCCTAGTTTCCACACCAAGGTCTGGGAAGGGCTGCCGGTCTGGGTTGAGCCGCCTTCGTTCTGGGCTGGAGGAATTCGTTGCAGCCGGGTTGGCCTTGGGGCCTCGCCAGCTCTCCGCATTCCTCCCCTGGGCGTCTGGTTCCAAAAGCCGGCTCCTCCCTCAGGCCAGCGCCCCGGGAATGGTACACCCCGCCCAGAACCCCCAGCCTCCAACCTGGGGCTGTTTGCTGCCTGGGGGCTCAGTGAGGTCCAGCGCGCTGTGGCTGCAGGCTGCGCCCCGCAGCATCTCCAATGCATCTTCAAAACCCAATTTTTTGGTTAACCGTTTTCCTTGGGGAGAGGAGCATACTTGGTTGAAGAGCTGTTCACGGCTTTGTTAAGTTTTGAACGTTTGGTGACTTCATGTATGTGAGGACTTTAGACGTTCCTGGAGCGGAGGGAGGCTGGGATTGGGAAGCAAAGCAAAAAGGCGCCTGAAGAGCACCTTGGAGCAAAGACCTTCGTGGGGAGCCCGCCTGCCAAGGGGCGCTGGCACCTCCAGGTGGGGCTGACCTTCGAGGTGTTTAGCTTCCTCCTCCCCTGGGATCTTCTCCCAGGTTCTCTGGAAAATGCGGCGGGAACGCAATCGCAGAGAAGGCGATCGAGATGGCGAGGCGCGCGCGCTAATCCAAGCACCCAGGCACCCGGGGGCTTAAAGGGAGGGACCTCAGTATCCAGCCCGCCGCCCCTCTTGGGTCAGCGCTCATAAAACCGCTCGATCAGAAAGAAAAGACATCTAAAATTTTAGGAAAAGTCAAATATCGGAGTGTGAGGTGGGATGGTGGGGGACTCGGGCCTTCACACCCTTCCTGTGGTTGGGAACTTCAACCACAGCGCCCTTAGCCGAGTGCAAGGAGGATTCCTTCCATTTTCGAACCCCCATCCACAGACGCCAAACCCAACTGTCAGTTTCCCCAAATCCAGTTACTCAAAAGCCCGGCCAGATCGAATTGAAACTCCACTGAGAATAGAAAAAACTAAAATTTCGTTTGGGGATGGTGAGTGGATAGAGAAGAAAGGGCGCAGGTAATCCCCCACTTGCCTCCTCCAGTGGAGTATCTCTGCTCCCCTGCAGATCCCTACAGGGGCTGCCGGAAGAGCCAGCAGGCTGGATGGAGCCCCTCCCTCCACCCCAGCGCCTCCTTCCACCCCAGCGGACACTTGAAGCCGCTTTGCTCAGTGACAAGCGGCTGACTCGGTACAGAGCCCTGACAGCCCCCACCCTCCCTGTGTTTGGGGATATTTGGGATACAAGCTAGTAAGGAGGAAGGAATTCCAGAGGCATTCCCTGCTTCAGGGGAGCGTCAGAACTCGGGGTGACCTCAACCAAGGCATACTCCCGCCGCTGCGGGTGCTTATTCTGAGCAAAGAATCTTTGCTGGGACCGGTGGGTTTGCTTTGCCAGGGACGGTGTGGTGCGCAGTGAGGGTCAAGTCCGGTCAACCAATCTAAGATGACTGACTTCCTGAACACCCTCCTGCTCCATCCCCCCCTCCTAGGTCTCCAAGCAGCCCCTTTCTCTAAAGGGAAGGCTCTGCGTGAGAGAGCTGGGAGAGCGACTTCTGGCTTTTGTGACAAGCCAGAGTCTAAGGTTCTGGCAGGGATAGGAAAGAGTTAGTTCATTTTGTTTTGTCTTCTTCCGCCACCCCCTTCCTTTCCTCGTCCAACTGCCCCTCCTCCCCCTACCCCCTTCTTGGTTTTATTCCGTCTGAGGATTTTGGTTTTTGCAATTCATTCTAAAGCAAATGACAAAGGTTTGCTTATGTGCAGTTCCCTGGTTTTATCCCTTCTGGATGAAATAAATCTCAGAGGTAGGAAATGGCTGTCCCAGACTATCACAGCCAGAGAATAGGCGGCTGAGGTGGGAAACCAAACCTTCCGCCTCTCGGGCCAGCCCTCCTCCCTCTGGTAAAACACACCTTTACAGTCCTTTTTAGCCTCCATCCCCTTCCTTCCACCAATTCCCTACCGCCCCGCCCCAGGGTTGATGAGATGTGGCACCTGCCGCAGGCCCCTCCCTGGAATCTGCAAGTGAGACCCAGAGGTTCCTCAACCGGGCACCCCAGCCCCACCCCCTTCATCATCTAGGGAGGGAGCCTGAGTAGGCTGGTGATAGAGAGAGAGGATTCCTCATCTGCAAACTGGGGGACAATAATAGTACCCACTTCACCGGGCTTTTTATGAAGACGCTCAGGGCCTGGATGTTGTGAGCATGAGATTCAGTAATTCTAAAGGCTGGCTGCTTATTTCCTGCTGCCGTGGGGTGTGGGGTGATCCTTCCAGTGTTCAGCGGAGGCTCCCAACAGCTAAGGACAGACTCTCAGTATAGGTCTCTGCGCTTTGGAGGATGCTTCAAGTCAGCTGCTACAGAAGCTGCCAGAAAACCCACCCTGCCCTTTCGCTAGGTCCAACACAAACAGGGCGCTGGGTACACAGCCTGTGGAGGGAGGAAGTGTCCTTCCACCCATCCTCTCAGTTCTACCTCAAAAGCACCACCTTTGTGAAACCTTCCCTGACAGCCAGCCCCACCCCAAGAACATTCTCTTCCTTTTGTGCACTGAGATGCTACTTTGGAACCCACCACAGCAGTAATGTGAGGAAGATGGCGGACAGACGGACGGAGGGCAGGGGTAGAAAGTTTGGAAGGTCGTATACTGTAAGGTCACAGCCCAGCTCCAGGGAAGGGGTGGAGCGGCCAGAGTTGGGTGAGGAAGAGGGAAGATGATCCCACGTGGGGACAGCATCTCTCAAATGAGCACCCTCTGCATGCCTCGGATGAAGAGAGGAGCAGTTTCTCCAGTTACCCAGAGGAGGGGGGTTTCCTTTTGGAGCCCTTCTCCTGAAGCTCCGAGGCTTCAGGGTGGAGAGTTCAGAGTCAGGTGCCTGAGGACGGTTTTCTCAATGAAAATATCTCCATCCATTCCAGTGGGAAGTCCACTTAGAAGCTTACTTGCTCTTCCTCCCCTCCAGACACCGACTGGGGCTGAACCACCCCCTGTACGCGCCTTCCAGCTCCTTCCATCTTTCTGTCTCCCCAAGGAGGTCAGAGCATGGCCACCTTCCGATGCCTTCCCTTACTCTTCAAAGCCTCCCTCTTTCTCCGATGGTCCTCTCCCACCCCTCCATTTCTGACTGAATACTTTGAGCACCAACAAGAGAAGTGCATGTGTGGGTACAAGCATGAGTGTGCCCAACAGAGGCGGATGCTCAAATGGAAGAAAGTGTTAGGGTACGTGACTGGTGGGCTTAGGAGTGTAACCATTTCTCCCCTAACATGAACCAGCTTAGATATTCGTGAACCGGTGTCTAAATGCTCTGATTTTCTGTATTTTCAAGAGTGTGCACGAGCAAGTTGATATCGCTGTTTGCCTTTGGTATGTAGATGTGAAAATACCACAGCTATACTCCGTATTTGCAGATCCCTAAATGCACCGCTCTGCGCACGGGGCCGCTGATAGAATTCGCGTAGACACACACCTGTGTGTGGGTATACGCCCGGGTATAAGTTAGATTTGCGTGCTGTCTGTGTAGCTGTGCACACGTGGCCACAGATGGGTGTGTATGCAGACACCCGTCCATCGAGGTCTCGGGCATTACTGTTTAGAGGCAGGTCCTCCACACGGGCTGAAAATGCGGCCACGGAACCCAGCCTGTCCTGTTTCCTGTGCCCTCCCAGGAGCCAACAAACTGGACTGGCCTCCTATTCCCAGATTTTGTCCCCGTCCGTGCAAGGTTTCAGTCTCACGCGGCGCCAGGAAAGGCGGGGCGCCGCGAGGGCAGAAGCCCAGACGGCGGATCCTTTCTTCGGCCTGGGGGCCTGCAGGAGCTGCGGTGTCGCAACCAAACGGGGGCCCCTGCCGGAAGCGGAAGACTGGACGGCCGCGGGGTGGGGGTGGGGGTGGGGGGGGGTGGGGGGGGGGGGGGGGGGGGGGCGGGGGGCGCAGTCGCGGCAGTCCCGGCGTGCCAGACCCAGGGCGCCCCGCGGGGGCGTGCGCGCCGCGCGCGTGCAGGGCAGGCTGGGCGCCCGGCCGTACCTCCCTCGACCCGGCGTCTGTTTACCAACAAACTGCCGGCGCAGTAGCGACGCATTCCGACGCGCTGAATAAGCTGCGGGCGCTGGCGGGCCGGTCTGGACTCCCCTGCAGGTCGGTGGCGACCGGATCAGAATGACCGTGCAGATCCCGGGAACCGGAGAGCGCGACCGCGGCTCCCCTGAACCCCCGCAGCCACAGTGCCTCCGCCACTGGCTGCTCCCCTCGCCCTCGGGGCATCAGGCCGGCCAACCCTCTCGGGTTCCTGCCTTTGTAACCCAGGTTCCCAGACTGCCCACGATCGTTCTGCAACCCCGACACCCTTTTTGGAGAAGACCCCGAGACGGCTGGTGCCGCAGCGGGTGCATCGCCCCCCTCCCAGCTCCCAGCTCCGACCTTCCTAAGGCGGGTTGCCCGGAGGGGCGGGCCCGGGCGCCAGGCCCTGGTGAGGTCACTGTTTGCGGTAGCCAATCTGGGGCGTCTAGGTGGGCGGGGCCCCCGTCGGATCCCGGGAACCGAACCCAAGAGCTAGGCGAAGGGGGCCCCATGGATTTAAGGGGGAGGGGAAAAGCCGTGGGGGGCATCCCCCCGGAACCCCTTTTCCAGGCGCGCGCTCTTCGCTGGAAGAGGCGCAGAGAGACACTTTGCCCCGCATCTTAAATAAGGGGGAGGCAAGCTGGGGGGCGCATCCGGCTCTAACACCCAAAGTGCTCGGAAAAGAGAGTTGGCGGAGGGAGAGGAATATGTGCCCCGCAGTGGCCTAGGCCCTTTGGCCCCGGCCGCTATGACCTCTTTGCCCTGCCCCATCCCTGGCCGGGACGCCACCAAAGCCATCTTCCCGGACGTCGCCCCCGTCCCATCGGTAGTGGCTGCCTATCCGCTTGGCCTGTCTCCCGCGACCGCAGCCGCCTCCGATTTGCCCTACCCTGGACCATACAGCCACCTCTTGCCCTACCCTTACGCTGGGCCGGCGGCCCCCGGAGACTCCTACCTGCCTTGCCAGCAACTCGTGACGCCCTCTCAGCAGGAATCCCAGGCAGGTAAGTCTGGCCATTGCGGCTCTTCCCCACCTCCGGGGTCCTGCTTCTGCGGGGGCCCCGCTCTTCGCCCTCGGTCGGGCGCAGCTAGCGGTATTCTGACCTTGCTCAGATTCCGCGGGATCTGGGGGTTGCGGGGGAGGGCGAAGGGGGAGGCGGGAGGGGGGCGGGGGCGAGTTGATCTAGGTCTCCTTTCAAGACCGACCTGGTTTCGATTTGCAGTTGTGTGGAGCCCAGCCGCGGGGCTCTCCCTACCCCACCCCCTGGAGCAGCAGAATTGTGTGCACCTACGTGTAACGGAAAATTGAAACAATCCAGATGTGGGTGTGGGTGCCTAGTCCTTCCCCAGGATTCTCTACATCGTGCACGCCTTCCCTTCCCCATGTCACCCCTCTCTGCCTTGGTCTCATCTCAGAATTCAAGCCAAAACCTAGTCAATAGATACCAGGTTCCAGGTGGAGGACAGTGGAAGTGGAAGCTTATTCTGGCCTCACCCCCTCCCCAGACTGTGCCCAGTACCTAACCTATCTTAAGCCAGCCTGGCAGATTCTAGGGCTAAGATTCCACCACCACCGTTGTTCTAAGACTATAGCCACAGGTGGGTGAGACAGTCTCTCACTGTAGGTCCTGGCTACTTCAGCCTTTTGGCCAAGGAGCATACCGTCTTTGTCCTCTCCACTCCTTGCCTTTGGGGTAGGTTAGACAGCTGATATTCCTGGCAGTACATTGTCTGCAGCAACTTTGAGCCCCCCGGGAAAATGCTCACTAGAAGGCCTCAAAGAAGCCCAGGAGCTAGCCCACCTTCCTGGTCCTGGGGCTGGGCCTGGCAGTACCCATGCAACATATGCATGCCCCTCTCTCTGCTGGCTCCAGCTTAGACCTCAGCTCCCTTCCTCCTTGTCCCCACTTCAGTGCCCCCCCCACTGTCTTTGGCACAGTCTCCCCCAAGGATGCACTTCCACTGGGTGACTTTGCTGAATTCAGTTCAGAAGTAAGTCTCCCATCCCTGCAGCTCATACATCATCAGAGCCAGAAATGCTCCTAGAGATTTGGGAGCTCAAATTCCCTGATGAGTAAACTGAGGCCCAAAGAAAGGCTGTGCGTGGGTCAAGGACACAGCTTGTTTTCTAGATTTTGGCCCCATAAATGGACTTTCATTGCATGAGGCTGGAGAAAAGGATTTTAGGGAGCTTTCTCAGCGTCCCCAATAGCTTTTTTGCCAGACTGGGGCTGCCTTTTCCAGGCTGCTAGGTCTGTCCTTGGAGGAAAACACTTAGGAGGAGAAGTTGTGGGTGGGGGGAGATGGAAGTTTTCCTACAAATGACTAGTTTCTACAAACCAACCTCTTGGATGCTTCCCTTTAGTATGATAATATGGTATATATTTGTGTTTTTTTGTGCACATGCGTGCCTGTGTTTTGGGGGAGTAGGGTGGGAATAAGAGGAATGTTGGGAATGGGGTTGGTATTTTCAGTCCTGTCTTCCCCACTCCTTGCCCCCCTTTGCTGATCTAAGTACATGGGAATGGGGAGTTCCTTTTCTTTACAGACTTTCCTTGGATCCAACGAAAATCACAGAGTACTGAAAATGGTGGGTTGCTCCACTCTACCTGGATTGAATGACTGAGATGTGAGAAAGAACGTGGGGGGCTCCTTTTACCTCAGCTCTGTGCCCCTCCCCCCAGATTTGACTACCTTGAGCTGCAGCCACCACCCTCCCTCAGCAGGCAGTACTCATTACCTCCCGGGGTGCCCTTGGGCTCCAAAATCTGGACCAGGGCAGATCCGGTAGGGACTTGCTGCAACTGGTATGCACAAAGGCATCTGTCCCGGAAGGAACTTGGAGGGAGAATTGGGGTACAGAGAGGGTTTTGAGAGTTCAATACTTGTGCTGTCTTCCAGGGTGTCGCTGCCCCAATCTCCAGGTACATGTAGCCAAAGAGGCACGGTGGTCGCTCATCTGCCAGCCTGGGGCTTTGAGCAGTAGTGTTTAAGTTGGAGAGGCCGGATAGGTGCGGGCGGGAGCGGAAACCCAGCAATTTTTCTAGGAATTGACTGAGGTGGAGGGGCGAAGGAGGTGGATTTGAGAAGCCGGTGCTAGAGGCCACGAGTGAGGGGTGCGGGGGAGGTGAAGGCAACTGGTCACTGCTAGCCAAGGGCATGGAACTTGAGGGGAGCGGTGAGCCCCACCATGGAAGAAGTTGGAGGAGAAGTGGGGTGGGGAACTAAATGGACAGTGGAGACTGGGCACCGGGTCCAAGTGCCCTCTAGACTGCCAGCAGACCCATGTGGAATGAGACCTAAGTCCGGAGCATTGGGGACACTTGGTCCAACCCAGCTCTGCCATCTGCACGGAATGATTTCCAGGGTCTCTAAAGAGAGGAGCAGGTTGGAGCCACCTGGAAGAGAGGAAGCTTTCATCACTCCCTGGGGAGGGAGCGGGAGTATTCTAGAGCCGGACTGTTTCTGGGCCGGGTATTCCTTGAAAGGCTGGCCCTGGGGCTGGAAGGCACCGGGTGTCCTGCAGTAGGGGCACCCCTAGTGCCACCCAGGGCCTGAGCTGCCAGATGTTGTGCACTCTCTGAACCAGGTCACCTTCCCTCCCTCAGGGAACCAGCCAGGCGGGGGAGAGGGTGACCCCAAGACTGCCGGTTTTCTGGGGTCTTCTCTGCTAACCTGCCAGCTGAGGAGGGGAGGCGTGGTCTCTTCTACAGTGTGTGACTCAGGAGGGGGCGAAGCTTTACAACAGGGGAAGGATTGGCTCACGCTGGAGGCACTTTCCACACCGACACTGGAAGGGGTGCTCATCCCTAGGCTGTCAGCCCTTTGGGCAGGTCCCTCTGACCCTCCCCTCTCCGGCAGCAACAGCAGCGGGAAGTCTGCCAAGCAGACGCTGGCTCAGGCCTCTGAGAGTGGCTTTTGAGTTCCCTCAGCCTGGAGTGCCTTTCCTGTCCATCATCTCTAGGCCTCTCCCCAAACCTCCTTGGAGCCTTTCTGCCCCTCCCCACCCCTGGCTGGCGCCACCGCACCCGACTGAACTCTGACCTCCAGGGCAGTGCAGCCGGTACCCCACCCAGTCTGTTGGCGCTTTCCTCCTGGGGAATCACAAGACCCATAAGAGTGGGTGCTCCCTGAGGGCAAAACAGCATCTTGTGCGGCCTGATGCAGTGACTGGGGGGGGGGAGGGGAAGGTAGAGAAGGGCCCTGGCGCCTGACGCTGGGACAGTCGAGGTCCCAGCTCCTGTGGCTTTTTGCTAACATGCAAACGAGATGCAAATGAGTTCATTGAGCTGCTTGTGCAACCCGCTCACCATCCCACAGACCAGCTCTTTTATTACTGCCTCCTTTCCCCCAGACTCAGAGAAGCTGCGGTTGTCCCCGGAGCCCTCGGAGAGGCTCCCGCAGGCCCCCACCAAGAAGCTGCGCAAGCCGAGGACCATCTACTCGAGCCTGCAACTGCAGCACCTAAACCAGCGCTTCCAGCACACACAGTACCTGGCGCTGCCCGAGAGGGCCCAGCTGGCCGCTCAGCTCGGCCTCACCCAGACCCAGGTGGGGCTGGTGGCCTCATTCCCCCAACTAGCCTTCCTCACGGTGGTGTTCTTTGGACACTCACCCCCCAGGTGTGAATGACTGCTGAGTCCCTGGCCCTATAGCCACAGTGCTTCAGGGGGTGTTCCTAACTGGCCCTCTGTAAGTTGGGGGAAACAGAACGTGCTAGAAGAGGGGGTGGGAGATTCAGATAGAGGGTACCCAGCCTGGGAGAACTGGATACTAGCTCAGCGGCAGGAACTGGGAGCTTCAGGGCCCGTGGGTGAGGAGGGTGAGTGTTCCAGATCCCTGTTCCTCTCCCAGGTCTGCTCCCCACTGCTGGGTCCCTTTCCCTGATCACGGGCAAATACTCCTCCTAATCTTCCTTCTATTCTTTCCCTCTCCTCACAGGTAAAGATCTGGTTTCAGAACAAACGCTCCAAATATAAGAAACTTCTGAAGCAGAACTCTGGGGGGCAAGAAGGGGACTTCCCTGGAAGGCCCCCCTCCCTGTCTCCCTGCTCTCCACCCCTTCCATCCCTCTGGGATCTACCCAAGGCAGGGGCCCTGCCTGCCAGTGGCTATGGCAACAGCTTTGGAACCTGGTATCAGCATCACTCCCCAGATGTCCTGGCTCCACCTCAGATGATGTGAGTCTGGGGAAGGATGGGTTCAGCCCCCAGCCCTCCTACAAAGCCATGGACCCAGCCCACCTGCACCCCTTCTGGGCTGGGAGGAAACCAGCTCCAGATGGGTTTTCTCAGGAGGACAGAGGGTGGGTGGAGGCCTGCCCCCCTTGCCCTGTAACCCAAAAGCCCAATCAAGCACTGCAGTCTTACCCACTGCCCCCTCCTCTGCCGTGGACATGGACTGGAACCTTCCTTCAGCTGGTCAGAGGCTCTGGAGAGAGGCTTATTGACTGGAGTTCAGATGGCTCCCAGGACCCCATCTTTGCCACGCCATAGCAGCCGAGGTCAAAGCCAGCTGGAAACACCCCGAGCATGTTTTACTTTGCATGCCTTGGGCCTTGCCTCCCACTTGCAAGCAAAAACAGAAGTGAAGTGGACATCCAGAGTCTTCAAGTTGGCCCTCAGGTCCTACCCATCACTTTTCCTGGAGGTCAGCCCTATACCCCATGACTGATGCACCCACTCACCATCCTGTGAAGTAGAAGGGACAACAAAATATGTGGGATTTGTGGACCTGGGAATTGCCTGAATTGGGGGCTGGGAGGGGTGGATAATTTATATTCTCTTCCTAAAAAACCCTGTTTTCCCCATATTTACCCCTTTTGAGTACATAATAGATCCAATTATCCATATAATTCACCAGCTGTTATTAAGAGCTCACCTCTAATACCCAAGGACCCACATGCAGGCACTCTTGGAACCCATTAGGGTAACACTTTGGGGGAGAATGGGGACAAATGGGCTCTCTGAATGAGTGTGAATGGAGATATCTTCAGTAAGTATGGTGGGAGGGCAGCTCAGCTCTTCACAGCCACCTCTATGCATAGAAACTGCTCATATTGCTCTTACCACCCCCCACACCATGAATTTCCAGAGATTAAAGTTTGTACAAAAGCCTAGGCCCCGGCTGGCCATGTGAAGTGTGTTCCTGACTTCTGAGTGGGGCTGGTGGCTCATCTTTTCTTCCCATCTGACTCTTCCAGCACTAATCTAGAGGTCCAGGGCCCTGCCTTTGCCTCTACCGCTAACTAGTCCTAAGACTCTAGTGCTGGAATGTCTTAATAGCGTTTGTCTTTGCAGCTGTTCCAGTATGAAACTGGAAGATGGGAAGGCGGGGGTGGTCAGTCTGGGTGGTCCTCACCAGCAAAGTCTCTTCTGAACGCACCTCATAGCCCCTCAGCTCCCACCTTCAGTCCCTGAAGAGGCCCTGCTCACCTTGGAGGGTCACTCCCACCGACTCAGTCACCTTAGCCCACCTAGGGGAAAGGGGATGGGGAGGGGGGAGAAGGAAACCCTTAGAAGAAACTGGACTCGCCTATCCAACATTTATACAACCTCTGTGTTAAATGCCTGGAATACCAAGGGGCAGATCCCATAAGCTAACAGGAGCGAGACACATGGCCAGAAGCTCACGTGGTGTGGCTTCAGGCAGAGAGGTACAGAGGAGTCCTGTGGGCGTAGTCCAGAGGCTCCTCGACCTGGACCCAGAGGTGGGTTCAAAGCCACTGCACCCCAGCACCAAACACAAGGCATCAGAAAGCAGGGGGCCTGAGGACAAGGGGTCCAGTAATCTTGGGAGTTTGCCCGGCCAGTGGTGAGGCGTGGGCAGGGCCTCCAACTTCAGGCAAAAAGCTTCCAAGTGGAGCTTCCCCCTCATTACCTAAACTTATTCCCAAGTGCTGCAAACTTGGGGCTGCCCAAGTCTGAAAAGCCCTCCTAGGCACATGGAGCCAGTCAACTACAATCCGACTGGCCGGAGAGAGGCACAACCTGGAGTAACATGTAGGGCGGGGGAGTGGGGGAAATTTAGAGGAGACCCCACACCTTGGGAGGCCAGCAGTCAGCCTAGGTCCCCTTCTGGGTCAGAATGCACCCCCAATCCCTAGAACACTCAAGGAGGGTTCACCCTGGGCCAGCTGAGAACCAGGAGCTCTGGGGAGGGAGGATGCCAAGAGGAAAAACACCCTCTTATGCCTCCCATGGGTGTGGCCCTGAGTCCCCCTGTGCACAGGCTCTCAGTGCCTGGCCCCAGTCCCCTCCTCTGGGTCTCCTCTGAGGCCACAGGCCCTCCGGGTGGCTGTTCCCTCCCACTGCAGGTTGCACACTCCTCTTTCCACAGACCAAGATAAGATCTACCGCCCCATCTCGGAAAGCCTCCAAAGGCGAGATTAATTGGACAGCCCAACACGAGTGGCATCGTTAAAACAACAGCCCAGGTTGTAAAGTTAAGTAGCAAAAGGAGTGTAATTACTCTCCCAGCCAGAGGCCAGCTGAGCCGACAGCAACCCCCTTCCCTACCCTTATCCATCGGCCCTTCCAGGCCTTTTCCACTTGGGAGCTGGTCCAGTTGCCTTGAGCTCCTGGCTAAGGATGGAACTGGAACCCCAGTGAAGGTGACCCATTCCCCTCCCTCCAGCCATCTCGGCTGTAGAAGGGGAACCTCTGGGAAAACACCCCTCTGGGAAAACTGGCTTGGTAAGGAAAGGGAATCTAGACTGAATCCTTAAGAATGGGGACTTTGCTGTGTGACTTCTCGAAAGTTACTTAACCTCTCTCTGAACCTCACCCCACCCCCACCCCCAAGATGGGAATACAAATAGGAGCTGCTTGCAGTGTGGTTGTGATGATGAAATGAGATAGTGCTTGTAACATGCTTGACATGGTGCCTGGAACATAGTAAGCACTTAATAAATGGCATTTATAGCTGCTGTGTGATTATCAGACAGGAGGGGTCACGGCCAGGGTGAGTTCATACCGCCACTGCCATCCATTCCTCTGCCTCCTGAGGGTAGGGAGGAGAAATGTTGCTGGAGAGCCCCATGCATCCCTGGTTACCACTATTCAAGAACAGGACACAGGCAAGGTCCTAAATCCATGAAGGCAGGCAGCACTGGGCATCAAAAATCAGCCAAGACTAAAAATGAAAGCGGGATTCCAGAACACATTTGCTCACCCACAAGAGGCTCAGTCCCCAGAAAGCCAATTTTGGGCCTTCCCTTCCCTTCTGGGTCCTCCCCTCCCCTCTCCCCTTATACTTTTTTCCTTTCTCTACCCCAGCAAAATGAGATTCAATTAATTCAATTTAAAGCAATTTTGGGAGCAGCTCCTGAAGGCTTTCAATGTGAGATAATTACAAGTAATTTGCTGCTACGAAGAGGAAAAGGGCATGTGGGGTCTGGGGGGAAAGGAGGTAGCCCCCTCCTCACCAAAGGCACACAGATCTAGAGGGATTCCACAGTGCGATCTTAACTGCCCTCCCATTGGCCAAATTACTTGCAGGTGGGGAGAGGGAGAATGTGGTGGTGGGAGGAGGCTGGGGAGACACTGAGTGACACATTGCCCTTCCCCCACCCCCAAATCCTCTGCGCAAGGTGGGGGTGGGGAGATCTGGTTGTTCCTCTGACAAAATGTCTGCATGGCCCTTGCAGCTGATTACTCAGCTCCAAACCTCATTTGAGTTTGGATGCCTGAACTTGCCTCTGGGAATGTCTCCAGAGTCAATGGAATGTTATCTGGGTAGTTGAGGCCTGTGTAGACGAGGCCTTGGAGATCAAGGACTTCCCCAGACTCACAAGGGATGTGGGTAGAGAGGAGAAAGGCCAGAGGAGGTATACACTGACTTCCTGCTTCCGAGGAGGTGATGATGCACCCACTCTCCTCAGAGACCTGGTGCTTTCTGCTTCTGCCTGGCTAGAATCACATTCTCCCTGCCCCCACCCCACCCTACCCCCGCCCCTGCCCCCCCAGCTCTCAGCCCTCGGTGAGACAAGCATCCTACAGGTTGTCCACCTCGTGGTCACCTGGGGTAACCCCTTCCTGCCAGGGCTCATTGGCCTAGGAGGAGGTAGAAGGGGAGTGACTGTGCTGAGGGAGCCAGAGGCAGGAGCTGGGAGGTAGGGGCTGAGGCATAGGCGTGGGTGTGCCACAAGGCCTCTGTGAGGACCCTTCTAATCCTGCCCACAAAGTAGAAACTAGGGTCCTCCTTTACCTGGGAGCCCTTGTTCCAGGAGGAGAGGACTGTTTTAACAATCACGGTGGAAAAGAAAAATTCACTGACCCCCAAAGTATTCTCTCCCACTTCTCTCCTTGCCCCTCCCATTTCGGAGGAGGAGCTCCTTCAGTCCAGTTTCTTCCCACTCCCGGGCCTTGTCCACACCCCTTCTCTGAGCAGCATGGCTGTTGGGCCTGGGGGAGCCAGGGAGACTTTCTATCAGGGAGTCCCTGGGTGACTGCAGTTTCTCCCTTCAAGACACAAATGTTTAGAGAGGGCAAAGAGGCCACCGCCCCCCTCCCCACCCCCCCCACCCCGGCCTCCCCTTTCTTGGCAGCTTAAGTTGGCTAAAAGGGTAGGATTAAGGAACCTTCCAACCCAAACCTCAAAATACAAATACAGAGAACTGTGATGCAGAGACCCAGGCAGAGGGACCCCCAAGTGCACACATTTCCACAGACAGGCAGACACACACCAACAGGCACGGAGTGGGCAGACCCACTGGCAGAGCCACGAGTTAGCTCGAAGCCTCCCTGTGGGGGCACATAGGTGCATTTAGAGAAAGACACCCACAGGTTATATGTAATATATACTCACAAAGAGAAGCACAACACAGACTGAGGCTTTAAAGTATGCAGAACCAGACTGAAACATACCCAGAAATACACAGACTAGCTTCCCTATGTGTGTGTGTGAGTGTTTGTGCATGTGTGAGTGTGTGTGCATGTGTGAGTTAGTGGAGGCAGAGAGGGGAGACAGGTCTTTCTTCCCGCACCCTTGTCATTCCCTCCCCTTTTCCTGCTCTACTTCTATTTTCTGGGAATATTTCCCTGGCGAGCAGTTAGGGAGGGAGACTGAATGGCCACAGAAATGTGATAATTTTATTATGACTTTATTTTCTTTGTTCCCTAAAGCCTTGCCTGCCTCTTTTTCTGAGCTCCAGCATGAGCTCTTGTCCCAGCCCTTCCTGGCACATCCCTTGGCTCCCAGATACCACCATTGATTCCATCCCTGCCTGGGGAGTCCAAAGACTGGCCTCTCAGATGCCTGTGCCATCTCTCCTCAACTTGCCCCAACAGCAACTCCAGCTCTGGGGAGGCAGGAGAGGACCTGGGATCCCAGGCTGAGCCCTGCTCTGACTTTGGGAAGTCGCATGCCCTGTGTGTATGTATGTGCGTGTGTAGGCTAATGTGTGTCCACCACCGGCTGGGATTTGTTGGGTAAAGCCCATCCTTTCCATCAGCCTGGAGGCTCCCCACGCCAGGTTCTGTGTCCCCCATTAGCATGGGTGCCAGATTGGGTGCACTCTGCTGCTCTTCCCAGCACCATAGTTTGATGCCTCTAAATGGCACAGCCCCTTGGCGTCCTGGGGACACGTCTGGCCAGCCCTGGAAGGGGGGAGTTGGCCTCATGCTTCTTCCAAACATCAAGGTTTCTGATTCAGCTCTCCCAGTGCCAGGCCTTCAGCATTTCTGGCCCCAAATGGAGAGATTACTTCATTTCCAGGGGAGGGTGCCACTCTCTGTGGAATATATGTGGAATGTATTCCTGTCGACTCTGTCTGAACCATTCCCTGTCAGAGTTCAGTTGAATCTTGGGTCAGACTGAGCGATTCTGCTCTGGTCTGTGCTCCCCACTCTCTTACCCACCCCACTTCAAGCCCAGGAATGGCATACAGACCTAAGCTCGGAGGGTGGGACCATAGCTTCTGTACTATGCCACTCAGAGCAAGAGGTTTCCTGGTTAGGGAGACCCCTCGCATAGAAACCAACTCCTATGCCCATCATCTTCACTGTCCTGTTTCCCAGACCCCCAGGACTCTCCTCCCTCAGATCCGGAGGTTCCCAGAGAGCAGCTCGCTGGCCTGCCCCCTGAGACTGGAACTCCACCCCCACCCTGT